GGCCCGTGGACCGCATCCATCCTGTTCACTCCCCCCACTGCTTCTGCTGCTGTGCCAGCCATGGTCTCTGGCACAGGCCACCACTGTAGCCCGGTGAGCTCACTGCCCATGTGGCAGGTCGGGGGAAAGGTTTTGTGCTGCTAGCGTGACAGTGTTGTGGGGGCAGAGCTCACACTGCTTACACTGCTTGTGTGGCTGTGATCAGGAGGGGCTCCCACTGCCCACATGGTGGCAGGGGCCTCATACTGCCTGCATAGTGGGGGACCTGGGTATAGCAAGAGTCCTGGGAAGCCTGTGCAGTGTGTGGCCTGGGGCCCAACACCCACAACTGGCAATGTGCACCCCCCAGCTGCTCTGAAGTTGGCCAGCCCTGACTATAGCAGTTCATAGGTCCACCCCCAACACCCAAAGCCCCCTCGGGTCAGACCCGCCAGCGACACTCTCCAGTGCCCCTCACCTCCAGTCTCTTGCCAGGCCTCAAAACACTTCAACCTTCCCAGATTTGACCCCTTTTTCTCCGTCTGAGCTTTTAGCCCAGGTCCACTACCTTAGGCCTTGGCTTCTAGGCCTCATCCATTCGTGTCCCTGCCCAAAGCATGCCTTGACCTGCAGAGTGGCCCTGGCAACCTGTTATGTAGCCTCCAAACCTCACCCGGCCAAACCGCTGGCCAAACTTGAACACAGAACACCATCCCAAATGGTTCCAAGTGAAATATAAACCCTTCTTGGGGTCTCTGCTTACTCCAGCCTCCAAACCTAGGGCTGGCTCATTGCCCCAGCCTCCCACATATCTTGCCTGACCTGCAGCCAGTTTCATTCAGCACTCCTTACCCCGTGGCAGTCAGGGTCAGAGGCTGGACTTACATGCACCCAAGCCTGGCCCCTTTCTGGTCTTCACCCCACAGGACCCTGACGTTGCCAATTCCCTTGCCAGCAGCCTGGCATTGCATAGCTTGTTGCTCAGTTTACACTGGCAGCTCAGACCTGTTGCCCCTTGCTGTCAGGCTTTCTGCAGTATGCCTTGGCTATGCCTCCCCTTTCCAAGGGTAGGGGTCCCTTATTACACTGACCTGGAGGGTACAATCACCGTCTGTTTTGTCCTGTTGCCTCAGGGCAGAAGTGTACTATGCTGAGCCTCTATTTATGTTTAAATATGGTGGGAGGGAAAGAACCAGGGATCTTCTCACTCTTCACCCCTCCTATCAGTTTGGCAGAAGCTTTCCCCACCATGCTGTTGTCCCAAATGTAGGTAGCCAGTATCAGTTTGTAAGGCAGTTCTCTTGGGTCATGGTACTAACCTGGATCACAATTCAGTCTGGGAGCTGGAATGAATAGGCCAAATACCCACAACTGGATGCTCTTCACCGTGAGATTCTTCTCATCTTATCTCCAGCCTCTTATTACATGTCTCACTCTAGCCCCCCAAAAACAGAGGACCTCAACTTTGCAGGATTGACTTCCTCCTATAAATATTACCCTTATCTTTCAGGAAACTACACTCTGAGAATTGACTGTACTCCACTAATGTATGGACTGGTGTACAAGCTGACCAAGGAGGTAATTCAGGAAAATATCAATAAACATATCAATAGTAGCTGCTCAAAGGAGCTGGGCATTGCACTTTGTGTGAAACTTGTCCTTTGGCCAAGCTGCAGAAGGCCTGTTTCTAGGTCACCACAATGTGAACACATGCAGGCTTTACAACTAGCCAGGTCAGGAAAGTAAAAAAAAGCAATTACCAGGTCCACCTAAACTAGTTACTGATATCAAATTTAACAGAGCAAAAGGCCTGAAAGGGGGCATTATACAAGAAGGCCTTGAAATAGATAATCCAAACATAGTTTAGCTTTAAAATGTTAGTAGTAGTGATTGATGTAACCAGGTGTAGTGAAGAAAGGGGATGTGAAATCCTTCCTTCCTTCCAAGAATCATAATTTTCATAGGGGCATATATCTCATTTAACTGATTCCATTCTTAGTTACATTAGTACTACACATGTACACCAATATAGTTAATCAAATATAAAGAAGAGCAGAATTTAGCCCTTATGGATCCATCCAGATGAGCGTGGCCGTTTGGTTCCCTGGGGACAAATAGCAGTGGTGCACCTTGCGCTGCAGCTACTTGTCCCTGGGGAGTGCCCATGCCACATGTGCTTTGGCATGTGGCAAGTTACCCTGGGTGGGGTAGGAGAGGCTGGGACCAGCACTGTGCTAGCCCCAGCAGCCTTACCTGGAATCCTGCACAGCTCTGGGCAGCTGGCTCTGCTTTTCAGCTGCCCTAGCTTGCACTGCCCTGGGTTTTTTTCTGTAGTTTTTTCTGACCCCTGGATATCCATATGAAAAAATATGAAGCAGCAGATGCTTGGGCAGCGCACCCTTGCAGCACAGAGAACACTGGACTGTGCAGTATGTGGCGCTGCAAACATGTTTGTGGCACCACATACCCCATGACCGCACTCGTCTGAACACGCCCTGTGTGTTTGGTTTAATAATACTATGCATTTGTTCAAAGTCGTCAAATACTGATATTTCTGCATTTTTGGAAGGGACTCTATAAAAAAAAAAAAAAGTGTATGTTGACCTGTCTTTGACATGAAATAAAACCTTTTATCTTCAGGGATTTTATAAACATTTCAGTTTCTAAATGAAATTTACTAATTTTTTACTTTTCTGAATTGTGCTGTTTCTTTCAACTGAAATTGTAATTTCAGTGAATAAACTATTCATTGTGTAGCTCTAATAATTATTTTTCCACCTATTTTTCAAAGTGCTAAAAAGGGGCATACAAAATTTGATTGACTTGGATCAGTGACTTAGTCATTCTCCTAACCAGTAGACTTCTATAATACCTGCTTATGGCTTTGTTACTTGGTAACGTTTACATCTATACCACTTTGCCTTTTTCACATGCATTTTCTCTAGATACCAAGTCCTGATGAGGGGTTTGAAGGCAAATCCCTTTATGAGAGCTGGTATGAGAAAAACCCATCAACAGAATACACAGACTTACCCAGGTATGTGACAAAGAAAATCAAGGGTGTGCCTGAAGCTACTGCAGGTTGGAAATTAAGGGCAGGCAAGTTTATTTTTAACTGCAAGGAAAGCCACAGGTAAGGGAACTATGGGACAGATACTCGTCTTGTGTAAATTGTAGTCAAAACACTGATTATAGCTGAACTGGGACATTTTACCAGGTATTGAGGAATTGTGTGTGAAGAGTAAACTTTCAGTATTGCATATGGAGTTTTAGCCCTACAGCCTATACTTGTTAATTGGATGCATAGGAAGTGGCTATATCCTTAGAAAATCACATGTAAAAAGAGATTCCTGCCTCTAAAACGTGTGGTTATGGTTTCAGTTATGTGGGAGACTCATCTGCAATTAAACTAGGACCCAAATGTAATCGTTCTACAGTTACAAATTGGAAGTAGTATATTTTATTGATGTCTTAGTCACCTTTGCAAGAAAGCATAATCAGTGCGTGAAAAGAAACAGTGACCATATGTTTAGTAGCACTGTAAGGCTGCATTAGTACCCAGAGGAAGTTAAAATGGATGAAACTGTTTGGAGCCATGGTTTTGTTTTGTATGTCATTTTTTTTCTCAGATAGTCAATGGGAAAAAAATCATTTTTCACATACCTCTCTGAAAGCAAGACATGAGCCATAAATCCTTGTATAATCTGCTGTAACCATAGTCCTTATCATTCTTCAGTTAACTTTAAAATAACTCTTTATTTAGAATGGATGAAACAGAAGCCAGTGGGAGGTGCCCATGATCAATCCAGAATTATTCCCTAGGCCTTACTTCCCAACACATGGAAAGCCTCAGATTCTCTAACCTGATGAGGCCATTCCTGGAGGAAGGAGCTGGGCTGATTTTTATATCTCTTATCTCTACGAAAAGACAGGGATTTCCCCATGTAATATCTAATGTGAATTCTGTTAAGTTATGATTGCACAGGGTTGCATGTGTGAGGAGGAAAGGATTATGTCTGTGCCCCTGGACCTGTCAGCATTCTCTTCTGTAGGTTCCTTCTTTGTGCAGTTGTTTTCCCTGGAGGTGAGGAGCTGAGTTCATTATTTGAGTATGTGTAAGGCTCTGAGAAAGCAAGAACAATGAACAGATTTTGAGAGATTTTTTTTCCCCTCAGTTTAGTCCACTGAGTTTTTGGGGGTGAGAGTGGTGTCTGAGAATAACAAAAGAGATGATGCATGAGACTGTGTGATAGGTAACTCAGGTGTGGTGGAGATAATGGGAAGGATAAGAGGAAGAATGGGATAGGGAAATGTTTTTTGGGTGGGGATGTCTGAAAGGCAAGTGAATAGATAATTATTACCTTTGTCCAAAATATATTAAAAGTTGGATATTGTGACTGAAGATGTTTTCCCTTTTCTTATCAAAAGAATAAATAAGCTGGGTTCTGGCAATGACTTTGAAGTCTTTTTTCAGCGGCTTGGCATTGCATCAGGCAGAGCACGTTACAGTAAAAACTGGGTAAGTCTGTGTTATTAGACCCTCTAGTCACTATCTCTTGTAAGCCACTGAATAACACCAACTACTGTGAGTCATTTACTTGGTCTAGAAGAGATGGCTTCAGGTTGATTCTTTAGGTGTATAAATGTGGATTATGTGCAATTTAGCCTGTAGGTCCCAAAGAGCAATTCAAATTGGGCATTCATCAGCAGTCACGAAATGCATCTGATGCCTAAAACCATTCGACATCTCCATTTGGACTAGAAAGTTTTCTATAGGTGTGTCTACATGATATGCTTTACTGCACAGTAGACGAATCTAAGGCAGAGTAAAGCATCACCTTCTATATGTGCATGTCAATTACTGTGCATTAAATTAGTCTAATGTGCCATTTGCTAGTATTAATACTTACAGGCACTAGACAAATGGCACATTAACTAATGCACCGAAGTGCATGTGTAGAACCTGACTGGGAGCAATTTGCTCCTGGTTAGCCCAGGCAGCAGGGGGGCACAAGTTCTGCCTGGCTAAATCCCAATCCCTGCAGGGTTGAGGGAAGTGCCCTGGAGCCAAGACAGCTTCCCCCAGAGCTCAGGCCTGACCCCCATGTCTTATACCAGCCCAGGGCTGGCACCTGAGGGAGCCTGAAGCTCCCCTCAGCTGATGCGGGGGGGCAGAGCAAAGCAGGAGCAGCCCTGGATTGAACTGTTCCCATCAACAGCAAATTTGGTCTGATGGCACACGTTCAGATGCGTGCCTGGGCACAGTTCAGTGTGCCTGAATTTTCTGCACAGAATATTCAGGCACATTAATTGCACATGTAGATGTGCCCTATGGGTCTACACTAGGCCTTGGGAGCATGCTCAGAACAGATCCAGTTGTAGCTCAGAGGCTGCCTATCACTTGCATGGATAACACTGAATTCAACTGAAAAACAGTGGTACTCGCCTTTTGCCCCACAGCCAAGTGATTACAGCACACACCCAGGAAGTAAGAGTCTTGAGTTTTAAGCCCATTCATGATGAAGGAATTCAAAACACTTCTCGGGAGGGTGCCCCAACTTCCAGAATGTAAGATAGCCCGGGTGAGGACACCCCTCCTATCAAAGCTGGGCATAATGGGCAGCCAAGGATGAAAGAGTTGTGGAAGTAAAAAGAGACCAGGCAAAAGCAAGCCTCTGTAGCCCAATGAGAAGCTCAGTCCTCTTGGAGGGAGAAGTTAAGGTCCCTGCTGCAAAGGTTAGGACTGTCTAATGTAAAGTTGGAACCAGATTCCAAGTATCCCATCCAGCTTGGACCACTTACCTGGGCAGCAGGTGATATGGATTGAATGCCTTTAGGATGATGAGAGCTGTCCCACTTCCTGGGATGGTGCTCTAAATGTTAGCAAAAGATGAGGGCGTGGCACTGCCATGACTATGATGACCGGTGCTGGTCCTGAGAAGTGGGACTAGATGTTCTGAAACGCAAGTGAACGGAGGTGCTGGTACGTAGTGCAAATCAGGTGCCTAAGCTCCTGAGATGGGCAGGAGTTCCAGCCCATGCCTGTTCTTTAGTGGCTCCCATTGGCTACTTTCTCAGTTGTTCTTCAGACACATGCCCATCCTCATTGTCTGTAGAGAGTGAATACCCATTTAACTCTGAACCACTCTTCTGAGGTGCCTGAGTCTCCTCATTGATTATATAGGGATTTGATGTGCCTAAACCCAGTCAAATTTAATCAAGCGCCAGAAAAAAATGGCTAAGTATTAGGCATTCTGACATTAAGTGTAGGCACCTACAAAATCCATATGGATCTGCTGTAGTTCTCTGGGACAACAACTACTTATGTCTTCATTTTATCATAACACAATAGGGCCTAATGCATGAATAGGGCTCTGAGGTGCTACCACAGTACAAATGTAAAAAAAAACCAACCAAATAACTGAAAGCACAGTAGTAATAAGAATAACTGAATTTGGCATCAGCCAACCAATAGACAAAGGCTCTTGAGGCAATGGTACACTCAAAATTGCCTGTGACCAATTGTTGAATGCCAAAGTGGTGTTTTTTGACCAACATAACTCTTAATTCTTTCTGCACCCAGACCATGAAAGGTGGACAGTTACAAAATACAACCAGGCATTGTGTGTTAAACAAAAGACCTTTTCGTTGTGAAAAGGAATATTTCAAGATATCAATATAAAACACTGCTGTGATCCAGGCACATGAGAGGAAGAAACATTTTGCAGCACACTTGATCTGTCTAAAATCTTGTATGAAAAATATATATATTTTTTTTTTTTGCAGAAAGTGGAAAAATATAGCAGCTACCCAGTTTACCACAGTATTTATGACACCTATGAAATTGTGGAGAAGTTTTATGATCCTGCTTTTAAGAATCACCTGACAATAGCTCAGGTACGGGGAGGACTGGTATTTGAGCTTGCCGACTCTGTTGTCCTTCCCTTCGATTGCAGAGATTATGCAGTGGCTTTAAGTAACTACACTCACATAATCTATAATTTGTCAAAGAGTCATCAGAGTGAAGTGACAAAGTACAGTGTGACATTTGGTAGGTACTACCCTCCATCACAATTCTGTTATTGTTGTTAAGCATTTGTATAATCACATTGCTTGGTAGCATTGGTCACAGACCAGTATCTTATTGGCAGGTCCCATGCAAACAGGGAACAAAAATATAGGCCCTACACCAAAAGATTAATAATCTAAGTAAAAACATTATTTCATTTTTATCTCTAGAAAAAGACGAAGAGCCTCATTGTACTCGTCCCTTTGCATCACTGATAAAATACAGAAGGCCCAGTCAACATTGGAGATTGTAACTGTTAATCCCAGCAAAATAATAGTTGTCCTGGTTCAAAACAATATGTAGATCAGGCCTTAGTTAGTTATGTAGTTTAAATAATCCCTCAAGTAAGCCAACACAAGAAAAAAAATCATCTATCTACTCACAAACAACACTCACGCAAGCTCTATCAGGTTTCACAGTGCCTATTACACATGCAATCATGGAAAAGCCAGGGTATTACTACTCTTTAATTTACAAGTGTGCGTGTGTTTGATTTTGTTCTTCAAGTAATGAGAATTAATGAATACAATCATTGGCAAAAACTAAACAGAACTCAAGGTTACACCCTTCCTTCCTTATTCCTCCAGATCCTCTTTTTTCTGCCGTGAAGAATTTTACAGAAGCTGCTATTGATTTTCACAGGAGATTGCAGCAAGTAGACGTCAGCAAGTAAGTTCCATAGGTTCCCTTCCCATCAAAACAAATAGGTCATTTTTTTGTAAACCCAATAGTATAGCGCACTCATTTTGTGAACATCTATTCACTTGAATATTCAGATATCAAGCAATGAGAGCGAGGGTTGAGGCAGATGGATCCCTTGAACTCTTTTCCCTTTAAGGATTGTATCATTACAGAGCAAACCAACCTACCCTGTTTTGCTTTACAGCATCAGATTCTCATTTAAAAGTGATGCTCCTTTACGCAAGTCTGGGGCCCACTTTAAGGCTGACTGAAAAGAGAGGCAGACCCACTGTGGGTATCTCTTGATATTTTAATGGTGGCCACTCTGCATTTAAATAAGTTACCAGCATTTGACTTAGGCATAGGGATCTGCATGGCTCTCATTGCTTTATTTGCTTGGGTTACTAAAGTCAGAGCAGATTATCTCTGAGAGGCCTCCTGATTTCAGTGACATTGATTTCCCCTAGCAACATATTTATCTATAAAATTAAAACTATGAGCAGCTTAATTGTTGGTATTATGGGATTCTGCTGCCTTCTTGGATCCCTTTGACTTGCTTATTTTCACTTCTGCAGCTCCTTTCTCTGAGGAGGTATGTGGATCCCTGGCAGTTATCAATTACAAAGCTTATATTTTGAGACATACCATGTAAATCTCTGGCTTTAACCTTTTTTTTCCTGACCTAATGAACTATATCAATAGAAACAAATGGAGTCAAATTTTGAGAGAGAGCAGTTAATAGAGTTAACTGTTTAACTTAATCATTTCACATGGGAAATACAGTAGCTTGCTATATCTTGTTGAATATTGCAACACACTATGAAATGGGAAAGCTCAATCCAAGAGTGTTCACCAGACTGGAATAAGTTAAGTATTAAAGAATGTAGACATGATTCAGCTTTTGTTTGCATGGATGCAGATTTGGAAATCCACCCACTACAGTGTAGTTACTCCAGATTTGCACTTGTCCGAGATGTTTTGTTCAGCCTTCCTTAATGAACCCGCTCTTAAGTTCTACAATACATTTGTTATGTAGCACTTTGGTTTCCAGTCCTGCCATTTAATACATTATTATTTACCCTTGTTAACATCAGTAACAAGGAGGGAGGCTATCAGTAATGTACTTTGGTACGTACAACACACAGGGACACAGATGGTCTCTGCTGCAAAGAACTTACAGTTGAAGAAGAGAGAAAAACAGCTCAAGCACATGATGTGTGGTATGTCTCAAAGGATGACTTGAACATCACAAGGCTCTTTTTTAGTGTGATGTGTTTTGACATAAAAAGAAGTGACTTTTACTCAAGCAACTAGACATTAGCTAACTTCATGAAAGAAGTGTTTATTGAAAAAAAGATTTGCAGTGGAGAGGGAGCGGTTAGCTTTGACATGAGAGTGGAAAAGAGTTCCAAGCAGAAGCAGCAGCCAAGGCAAAAGTACTTGACAATCCCTTCCTTCCTTAACACATTCCTTGGCATCGAAGAATAGCTTTGCATGATCTCCATGTTATGAGCCAAGTCCTCTTCTAAATCAGAGTAATTCTATTGACATAACTGATACTGGCTGCCTGTGTATGATACCAGTTCAGTTCTACCAGCTGTGTTTAGATATGATATTATAAGTCTGCAGCTGTGAAAGCTTTAGGGCAGAATCTGCATGTACAAGTTACTCTGGGGCTAACACATTCCTCTGGTGCTTTCTTTTTAGCCCAATTGATGTAAGGTCACTGAATGATCAGCTCATGCTTTTGGAAAGGGCTTTTATTGATCCTCTTGGTTTACCTGGCAGACCATTTTACAGGTAAAAAAAAAATCCAGCCTCTGCGACACAACTTTTTTCTCCCTTTTTAGCCTAAGAACCCTTTGGGAAACTTCAACCATTTAGGATATACAAATATTTGAAGAGAACAAGAGTAGCATTTAGCACTGAGAGAGAGATATTAGTGAAACATAAAAAGTAAAGGCAAATTTAATCTGCTTATTAGGCAAAATTTGAGTGAGGTGTATTAGACAAATCATAGGAGGGCTTGGCGCAAAGCCAAATAAAGTCAAGTTTTTATTTATTTCAATGGGCTTTTGATCAATGCTAAGGGTTTTATCCTGCTCCTATAACAGAGCTCCCACTGACTTCAGTGGTGTGGAATCTAATCCTAAAAGTCTCCCAGAGGGAATAGAGATTTAAGATTCAAAACTAAACTAACCTTTATTAGGAAATAAAGTGTAGGGGCAGTTGGCAAGCAGCAGGGAAATGGATCTGATACATTATGTTTTATATAGCTGTGTTAAAATATGTTTGGTCCTAAAGGCAGGCTAGTAAAGCCTGCTCAGGAGCAAATCTGAGGAGGAGGGGGTTGGTGGTACGCTCACAACCCCTTTGATTCCTGTTCTTCTCAAAATTTAAAACAAACTGCCTAGCAGGGATAGTCACTTTTTGATTCAGGCAGAGTGGAAGGAGTCAACCTCATGGCTTACCGTATATTTGATTCCTGCTAATCTTCACTCCTGGGGTGTTAACAACCCTTGATCTTCTATTAATCAAACTATCCATTCTTCTACCATTATGTACTCTGTTGGTGTTTGTCTACTGACCCCTGACTGTGTCCAGTAAAGGAGTACTGCTGTATAGGAACCTGTACAGGATGGTGTGTTCCTAGGGGATTCAAACCCATAGCAAATGAGAGACGAGGAGGGAAGGGGCATGGCTGAAGGCAGGCATAGCTGTGTGGCAGTGACACAGGAGTCAGGGGGAGGAGGGAGTTGCAAAAGTGGTTGGCAAGGGACAGAAGGGGTTTGGGACTGTGGACGTGAAATGGGCTGTGAGCGTGGTTGGGGCAAACGAGATTGTGTATGAGGGCGCGCAGGGGTTGTGAGGGACTGCCTTGAGGTTTGGGTGCTTGGAGGGTAGGGGGCAGGCTTAATGAAGTATGAGGCAGGGTGGGGTCTGATAGGGCTCAGGGCATGATAGGTTGATGCTGAGGATATGTGAGATAACAAGGGACAGAGTGGAGGCAGGGGGCACTGGAAGTGGCAGAGGCAATGCACAAAGCATAGTAAAAGGCACATTGGGACCATGGTGGAAAGTCTGAGGGACCCACACGTTGGGTTACGGGGCACCGTTCTGCCTGTGGCCAGGCTGGAAGGTAACAACTCTACTGCCCTGGAACCAGTTGCCTACCCCACCCTGGAGCTGGCAGTCACCCTCAGTCTTAAACACAGTAATATAGCCGTAGGCCCCTTAGACATTGGTAAAGCTCCTTTTTAGTTAGAGGAAACTATGTGTTGTGTTATGTAATTCACCATCCAGTGCAAGGTGGCAAAGGCCTGCAGCAA